AGATAGAAATACGAAGCCATCATTTTATCAATAACTGGTTTAACTTCTTCAAAAATCTAAAACTCAAAATACAATTATGAAAATGTCATTTTCATTACAATGAATTGTACTTAATCTCATATAAACATAACATTTAACTCTATCGCTACAAAAAAACAATTGCAGAATCTTTTTGATCCCAACAGTGTTGCAAAATAGTTCAATTGTTTAATAATTTAATTGCTATAATGAAAGTCAAACTTTGTAGCTAAAAGATGTAACTTGGTCAAAATTATAATTTTATTTTACGTTAATTGCATAACATTTTAGGATTTATTTGAGCAAGTCTAGCAAGAAGAGGTTCTATGAAGAATATTCGGCAAATACTTGACTTTCAGTGACCAAATAACCACTTGACTTTACGTCCTTCTCTAAGTCTCACTATTTTTTTCTTCTATGGCTGTTTTGAGTGGTTTAAAAACATTTATTCTTCTCCAAGTCTCCCTTCACAGTGTCATTCAACCTTTGTTGGAGATAACCTAAAGGGGTGCTTTTATATAGATTGTACCGTACATTTTTGATCTGTCATCATTACTACTTAGTACATGACTTATTTAGGCTAATTACAGACTTTACAATACTTATTGGCAAAGGCTATATCTCAATTTTTAAAGTATACTAAACTCAGTCATTATTAACAGCAAACATGATCTCTCAACGCTATCGTAGCCTTGTTTGAATTCGACAAATAAGTTTTATACGTCTACATTGTACTCCCATCTTTTTTCTAATATTGATCTGTAAATCGCCTTTCTTTTTCTTAATCTGCATTAACATTTGCCTATATATTCTTCAGCAAAGGGTAATAGTATTTTTAATAAAATTTGAGAAAGTATCTTGTAACTCTCACATAGCATCATAGAGCTGCCACAGTAATGATGCCACTTTATTTTGTTTCATATTTCTTATACATATTAGACATATATATATATATATATATATATATATATATATATATATATATATATATATATATATATATATATATATATGTGTATATATATAAACGATTAAAAAATACATACCATCTCAAGACTCGTGTTCTTCTATCAATGTTCAGGTGCATAGTACTTAAAATCTTTCTGAGGCGATTGAAGACAGCTTACGCCTTTTCTATACGACATCTTATTTCCTGTGAGTGATTCCATTTCTTAATTAGGCTGCATCCAAGGTATGTAATCTGGAATGGTATCTGGAAGTCTCGTCCGCATATCTTAAATTGTGTATGATTTCACTATTTATATTTATACCTTTCTTATACCTACTTAAACCATCAATAGCTACCCTGAACAGCATTTCCAAGTAAGTATTAAACAACGTTGGTGACAAAATGCAGCCCTGACGTACTCCCCGTTTTATCGTGAATTCTTGTTAGGTTTAGTTGTCTACTCGTACAGTTACCCTTTGCTGTAACTATAAATTTTTAATTAGTCGTAAATCTTTGTCATTAATACCAGATTTTTTCAGTATTTCAAAAAAGTTTTGATGTTGCACCTTGGCATATGCTTTTTTAAAGTCTATAAAGCATGCATAGACGTCGCAATTTACGTGTCGAGCTCTGTGTATCAATACTTGTATAGAAAATAGGGCTTCTCGCATTCCCAGTCCGCTTCTAAACCCAAACTGAACACTGCTAATGTTTTCTTTAAGTTTTCCATATATGCGTAATCAGAGTATCTTTTGGGATTTGCCTTTTCGGGGGAGGGATGAAAGTGGAAACTAGCCAATCTGTAGGAAATTCTGCAGTCTCATAGATTTTGTTTAGACGACTCGTTAGGAGTTTGAGTTAGTTCTTTTCAAATAGTTTCAATATTTCAGCTTGTATGTTATTAGGTCCATGTGCTTTGTTGGATTTTAGTCTTTTTATTGCATATGTTAGTTTTCTGAGCGTTATTTCTGGTCCTGAACATCCAAAAACACTGTCTTCTGTCTTTTGCTCCCCCTTGAATATTTCTTTCATGTATTGCCTCCATCTCTCATGTATTCTCTCATTTTTATTCTTCATTCCTCATTTTCGTAGAGCAGATTGTAGTGCTTGTCTAGCATTAAGTTATGACTTCGTGATCTAGGGATTATATTTCTATGCATTGATTTGTAGGCATGATTTTTTTGCTTCTTTAATCTTTTCCTTAATGATCTTGTTTATTTATTTGCACCTTTCCTCATTCTTATTTTTGTGTTATTTTAGTTATTCCATTAGCTTTAATATTTCTTGTCCCATCCACAGCTGTTTCTTTATATTGTTTTCTCGTTTATGTTTATTATATGCCATTAAATTACAGATGTTTTCTTGATTAATATCTGAGATTACCATGCTGTTTATTTTGTTTTTGATCTCCTCTTTGACTTCGTCTTTTGTGGTTTTATCTTTTAACTTCTTGATGTCCGGACGTTTTTGTGCTTTTCTTTTATGAACTTTTTTATGTGGAGTTTGAAACGTCCTAGTAAAAGATTATGGTCTGATAAGACATCTGCTCTTTGGTATGTTTTTGCGGATTTTACGAAATTCTGAAATCGTTTGTTGATGATGATGTTATCAATCTGGTTTTTAATAATTTTTTTTAACGGTCAGCTAGAGATTTTCAGCTGTAGAGTCTTCGAGGTGGTAATTGGAAAAAGGTGTTTATTATTGCACTATCCGTTTCCTGACAGAACTAAACAAGGAGGACTAGTCTATCATTTCGCGTTCCTAGTCCAAAGTGTCCCACAGTATTGCTAACACCTCCTTTGCCTACTTTGGGGTTGAAATCTCCTAGCAGAATATTCACTTCTTATTTTTGCTATGTTTTAGGGATTCTTTTATGAGTTTTATTGTTCACGTTAACTGGTTTACCATGAATTTTGAGTAATGCAACTCTATTCCTATAAAAATAAGTACACATTGGTTAACTTCTTTATTTACTATTGTAGCCACTTTGTTTTTGTTTCTTGTAGTAGTATCTACACAGTAATATATTGTGTGGTTTTTTGTTTCGCACTGGCCTAAATTGGGCCATCTAACTTCACTGCATCCAAATATGTCAATATTAAGTCTTTGCATTTCTTTAAGATATTCACTTTTCCGGTCTGGAATAAACTTTGTACATTCCATGTACCAATCTTCTTATCATCCTTAAACCTTAATATTTGCGGCAACTCGGGAATTCTTATCACCCTCTCCCCACTTAAAGGATTCCCGGAACTAAGGTCTGTTTCTATATTGACTTGATCCATTGTGATTATACTACTTCGGGAAAGTTAATTGAAGTGGTTTTCCGTTGCCTTCCCCAATGATTTTTCTTTCGTGTTAGGTTTACTCCTTGGGAATGAACATGTGACAGGATTTATTTGGTTTCGTAGGGATCTTGGGGTATGGATATGACTTTCCCGGCATGAGTTGGGGGATAGCCATGGCTCGCGTGGGCAGGGTTACATACCTGCATTAGATCTATCTCATACCGGGATCGTACAAGAGTATTTACCCGCTACCACGAGTACAGATTATTTAAGTTCTAGACTTGCTACAAGTATATTTTTAATACGCAACTTCGTTTATACGATTCTTAAAAGTACCCTTAGAATGTGGCTACTTTTCACTATTTCATAGCTATTTATAGTACGGAATAACTATTTGGGGTAATTGTTCTTACGAAGATCGAATTTTTAAATTACAAAAAAAAGTAGGTAGTGAGGACTTGCAAGAGCAGAGTATAGGGTACACTGTAAACCTTTATTTATGGATTTAGGTATTATGCCACTACCTTCACTCTTTATATATAAGAGGCTGATTGAAATTCATGCCAACAAAGGTAAGTTTAACCTAAACTCCAACTTCCATGATCACGATACAAGAGATTACGATACTGGAGATGCTATTAACGTCAACATCAACGTCAACGTTTTAGGTTGACAAAGAGCATAAAAAATTCGACTGATGTTGGTTTGTACAACTTTTTGCCAGATGAAGTAAAAAGTAACATCCACAAGGAAAACAATTCCTGTAGCTGGCTGTATACCACGTATCACAAAAAAGAGGTTAATCTTCGTAAATGGGTATATTTATTTAAAAACCCATAAAGGGCTGCATCAAAAAAACAAACGTTTTCGGACTAAACAGTCCATCATCAGGTTTAGAATTGCTAGGTTAAAATGTCTGAGCCACCAAAATACCAGGGTAAAAACCCTTTAAATAATAAATAAATATACCTATTTACGAAGATTAACCTCTTTTTTGAAGTAAAAAGTCTTTACTTGAAGATTAAAATCAAATCAAACTTTTTGAACCATTGTTTCTATTCAAAAAACTAAGTACAGCTTTTACTCAATAGTCCTAGTTTGGTCAGGCTATTTGCCTATTATGCAAATATTTCATTTTTATATGTTTTTATTTGACGTGTTTATCGTATCTTAAATTTTTAATATAAAATATATATTTGTAATGTTCGCAAAAAAATTTTTATATGTATGTATGTAAATTGTCACTATTCCTTTGACTTGTCAAAAACAAAACTATTTTTGTATATTGACTAAATAAATTCTTTCTATTCTATTAAAAGGTCATAATAAAACAGTTTTACAAAAGTTTGTGTAGCTATTGTGTAATTTAGGAAATACTAGTATTTTATATAAAAATTACCGTATAACTTTTCACATATTATAACCAGAAAATTGACCTGTATTTTGCGGCGCACATAATTTATTAACCTTCGCGTAGACTTTTTATTCCTAACTGTAAACCAACTAAGTGCATGTAAATAAGGCTTAACAGAAAGGGAGAAATGTGATATCTTACATAAAACTAGCACAGCCATGATCAATTTACATTCAATTTTTAAAATACGCTTCTACACATGAATAACTTTTTGTTGAATGCCTTTAGAGTCCGTCTACCTATGCTAGAAGAATATGCATTGAAACAATGTTATTATCTGTATTTGTTTAATTTAACTATCGGCGTGAGATAAAGGCCAGCAAAGATATTATTGAGATAGTAGTGTTGCATGCAATAGTGTTGACAAAAGTGAGAAATATGGATGAAGAAAAAGTGCCACTTTTGGTAACTGGACCTAGTAAAAGTCCTATAGTGAAATCTGATGAGAGCGTGAGTAATATTTCCGTAAGATTTAATTTTATGTACATATATGGCATATTTACAAAAACAATTTTTTTATTTATTAATCGCATCAATCAGTGAGTGTTATTAGCGGGAGAACAAGAGACAATTTATTACAATATAAGATTACAAAGTAAACTACAATTTCAGTTGAGATATTAATTAACAATTTGACTTCTATTATATTAAGATCTATGAAACATAAAACTTATTTATAATTCAAGCCACCAGAACCAGAGTGGTCCAAGTGATAGAAATCAAAACTAGAGATATGGGCCAAAATAGTTTAGTAAAATTTTCGAGTTAATGTAGAAAATTAAGTAAATAATAAACACATTGCTTAAAGCATAATACTTAAAAAATTACTAAGTTTGTAATGGGCTATAGCCTGATGCTAATTTTGTTAGTATTTGTAATTTTTTAACAGTTGGGCCACTTTGGCATTGGCTGTTTGAGACAAACATGTCAATAAAAGTAAGAATAATATGCCATAGGGTATGAAAATAACCCATCAAATAGAAATAAATTCATGTAATATATCAGAAACAAATGTAATATATCAGAGGTAATGACTTATTAAAATGAAAAATTACGAATTAAAACTTATTGCTAGTTTTTTTTACTTAAGTTGTAATCAAATTTTTAGTTTTATTGTTTTTAAATGTTTTCATTATACACTACTTCACTGAAAAATCGCTCATTGTTCCGTCTAATTCATTTCTTGCAGTGTTTGAGTCCGCTAGTTTGTGGTAGAATTGATGATAGATGGGCGAAACATATTCTAGTAAAGACAGAAGGTCTTTCTTGTTTTTAGGGTTGATTTTTCTTCCATCCGGATAGAGTGTTTCGAGCTCTAGGTTAGAAGCATCTTGAGAATTCCTTTTACTGAATTTAACTTCAGTAAAAAGGACTGGATTATTCGAATATTTAAAAAACATGGAGAATGGATACATCCTGGACTTATCAACGCTTATCTTTCTGTTCGTAATGTTACTTCTAAGGCTTTCGTCGAGACGAAATCGTCTCGTTTCATCTGTAGATACTACCTTGAATGTATTCTTTTTTCTTGCTGCTGTTATTACGGTGTTTCAATGCTTCGGAATGTATATGTTTCAGAAATACCTCTTCTGCTTTTCTATCAAGCCGAAAGCTCGGTCACAAGATAAATAGGAATGACCGCTCACTGTAAATTTGTGATCAATATGTTCCACAGTATAAGCTCGATTTGATACAATGTACATACACAACACCGCAAATTCTTTGTACGTACATTATCTCTAATAATTTTATTAAACATGAACCTATTTCCTGTGGCCCTCTGGATGCAGTCGATTCGTCCCAAACGTACATAAAAATGTCATCGGTAGTAGCATTGTAAATCCCTAAACAGTAAGTCCATAACTGCCGTTTATAATAGCATATTCCAGTTGAAATTACCGGCGTTGGAAGAGTCTTCTTCAGATCAAATATAATTACTGTGGTGTCATTGTTTTTAGTTGCATACTGTATACCAATTTTCATATTATATATTCATGACACTTTCCGCTTTTCTTAAATGAACCTCCTTGGTAGTGGTAAGTTCGGCCTTCTTTAAATGTTAACTATTTTTACAAGCCTCCATTTTTACTTTGAAATTATTGTATTTCTTACATAAATCTGTTATAGGAGTATGAAATGATAAGTTGAACTTCTCGCTGAATGTTTTTTCAAAGATGTATTTAGAAACAGGTCCGCTGACTTTCTTTTTATATTCGGAATACATTATTGCCAAATTCAAATTAGGTGGCAAATGCTGTCTTGTCTCACTTTTGTGTCTGTTCTAGTCAGAATCGTATTTTGAAAAAGTTTTCATGAACTTCTTTACTTCCTTTTCTTTCAGCTCAGGGGTTTTGTTTTTTGGGACATGTTTACCTGGCTTGTCAATAGGGGGTATATCACCAACTGATTTGCAAACATTAATTTGTTTTCCGTTTATATCTGGTAAATGATACAGTCTGGAAAATTCTCTCGGCTTTATTGTGGCATCGTTTGCATTTTGTTTATATGATCTTGCTTTAATGACGACATTTACGAATGAACACAGAACAATTTAACTTAGAGATAAGATATCCATGAGTTAATCTTCTGTGCCATACACGCAAACGAGCATTTTTATCGTATAAATAACGGTCAATGCTTGTGTCATACGACAGAATAATAAACAATCAGAATGCCCACTCTGCTTGAAACAATAACTACGCTCATCTCGTTCGCGCCGACGGAATCATCCATGTTTTAATCGAAACCAGTGCTGTTCAGTGGCAGTTTATCTGGTGTACATAGAAGAATTAACCCGGCTTAATTTATTTACGGAAACTATAGATATAATATACACTATTTTATTCGTACTTTTAGTTGAAAAATATATTAAATTATTTTAAATGTACTAAATTATTAACCTTTAAAAATTTAAATTACAGTTCTGTCGTAGCTTGTCACAAATTTCTCAATTCGAATCTGTTTCCGTCTAAAATATGGCGATCGCGTGCTGACAAACTTCAAAGGCGGCATCTGAGAGTAGGCAATCTGATTGTTATTTATTCTGTGGTCACACCATCAATTTATTGTAGTCTTAATAGTGTGTACAAACGATTGTGACTGATGCTATTCACTTACCTTAGAGCACCTTCGGTGCATATTCCGACGCAATTCCTCCACTCTATTTTTCCTTCTGTGGTATAATCGTTTAAGATAGCAAATAACGCGACCGATGTTGCATTAAATTCTATTGGTTTGCAGAAAAGTATTTCTTCTACCACTGACTTTCCATCACAAAATTTAACGTAGGTAATAAAATAAGCATCTTTATTGGTGTCTGTTGCCTCATTAAGATAAATCGAAAACAGCTTGTCGCGCAACTTCCCAAGTAACTGATTATATAATATCTAGGCTAAAATTTGGACATGCTTGTTTTCCTACCCATCTTGCAAGAATTCATGTGATTGAGAGTAAAAAACTGTGTGGAATGTGGAGTAGAAGGCGACCTAGATCATGTACTTTTTGGTTGTGCCAAATATAATTTGGAATCCACCGTTTTATATAATAATATTGTTCATATTACACGTAAATCTCCGTTTAACGTTTTATCTGCCCTAGCCACCCAAAATAGATTAATTTATGATTGCATAATCGATTTTTTGACCAAATGTAATATTTTTCTTTAGTTAAAAAAAAATTGTTTCTACATTTTACCTTTGTTTTCTCTCCTTTATATGTTTAATCCTATTTACCGTGGCCTAGTTTTCCTGTGTATGTATATATTATAATGTCCTGATGGGCCCCTGGACATGAAGCGAGTGACCCATGTTAATTGTATATGTTTATGGATAAAAACGTGAATGTATGTATATATATATATATATATATATATATATATATATATATATATATATATATATATATATATGTATGTATGTATATATATATATATATATATATATATATATATATATATATATATATATATATATACATATTTTCTTTTCTTTTCAATAATGTTTGTACTAATTTCTCAACTTTATATTTATCTATTTTAAATGAAATGAGGTTGAATGCTCGAATAAATGAACTTTGAAAATAAGGCTATTATCGAGCACAAGTTAATTAAATCTAGCCCAAGTACTTTCGCTTAAAATAGCATCCTCAGGGGCATCTGAAATAAGCCAAGAAAACGTTTTTTAGATGAAGTAAATTAGTTAACTTCGATAAAAAACTCGAAGTTAATGGATGAAAAAAGAGTTTTTGAGATTAACGTTTTTGACTTACTTCGTCAAAATGTGAACTATCCGGCAAGCGTAGAATGTCGAAACATTAAAAATAACATAAAATTGTACAAAACACTACACTAAAATGAGGACAAACAGTTTAAAATTACTTTTACGCTACATTCTCTCTCAGTATCTGGAGGGATAATGATCTAAGCGGAAATGATACGGTGACATATGACATATGACAACTTTGATAGGCAGTCAAAGTTATGGATCTGTGATCAACAAATATTAAAATTCTGTATAAGTTGTCATTGGCCAGAGGTCCAACTAGAACTACTACTGAAAAAATCAGCTGATGAAGTATGACATATAGAATATTTTGATTTAAACTAGATTGCATAATCCAGATCTCACACTCACACCCTTCTGTAATAATAAGGTTGTAGGTTTGAGGCTAAATGAAGTGTACATAAAGTGTGAATGAAAGAAATAGTCCAAATGATCTATTGGACAGTGGGTAGTTGACTACAATAAAATGGTCTACCAGGCACTGTCAATACTGCAAAACGAGAAGAAAATTTACTATGAAATTGAAATATTAAAATTAGATCAGAATTAAAAGCAGTGTGTAAATGGGTATAGTTCAAGTAGTTCAGTTAAACCTCAAGCCAATGGGGGAACTATAAAACTAATATGTAATAACATTACTAAAGACCAACTGACCAACAGGTGTTGAAATATAAAACTGTGGAATTAGTATATGCAGATTATGCAGAGGTATGAAGAGTGAAATCAACTCCAACTGTGGATCAATTGAATCTGAGCAAGCTAGTTGTGTAAATTGTTAAATATAAAAGTAATGCTGAACAGAGCTTGAAATTGGTAGATTCTTAATGTGTAAACTCAGTGCAGGAAGTCTAGACAGCCGAGCTGGGTCCACTACGAGGTGAAGCTGTAATAAAGTTTTTAAAAATAGGTTTAAATTTAGTACAGTTTAAATTAATTTAAGTATTAAGACAATGAGAGTTTCCATTCGTTTCCTTTGTGATCTCCAAATATTCCAATAGATCCAACTCCAAATAGTTTTTCTTTCTACTGATTTCATGAAAAATAGACGACCCAGTATTGATGTTGAAATTGTGTTTGCTAGACTCTAAATGTTGACCAAAACTTATAGAGTTTGGTCTTTTTAAATGTTCTGATATTCTAGTAGATAGCTTTCTAGTGGTTCTGCCTACAAAAGAGGCATCACAATCATCACACTTTAATTTGTAAATACCACTTTTGTCAAGTGTGTTCAGCCTGTCTTTGGTGTTAATTAAAAAGTGTGATGTTTGTGATGCCTCTTATGTAGGCAGAACCATTAGAAAGCTGTCTACTAGAATATCAGAACATTTAAAAAGACCAAACTCTTCAAGTTTTGGTCAACATTTAGAGTCTAGCAAACACAATTTTAACATCAATACTGGGTCGTCTATTTTGCATGACATCAGTAGAAAGAAAAACTATTTGGAGTTGGATCTAATGGAAGATTTGGAGATCACAAAGGGAACGAATGGAAACTCTCATTGTCTTAATACTCAAATTAATTTAAACTGTACTAAATTTAAACCTATTTTTAAAAACTTTATTACAGCTTCACCTCGTAGTGGACCCAGCTCGGCTGTCTAGACTTCCTGCACTGAGTTTATACATTAAGAATCTACCAATTTCAAGCTCTGTTCAGCATTACTATTGTATTTAACAATTTACACAACTAGCTTGCTCAGATTCAATTGATCCACAGTTGGAGTTGATTTCTCTCTTCATACCTCTGCATAATCTACATATACTAATTCCACAGTTTTATATTTCAACACCTGTTGGTGAGTTGGTCTTTAGTAATGCTATTTCATATTAGTTTTATAGTTCCCCCAGTGGCTTGAGGTTTAACTGAACTACTTGAACTATACCCATTTACACACTGCTTTCAATTCTGATCTAATTTTAATATTTCAATTTCATAGTCAATTTTCTTCTCGTTTTGCAGTATTGACAGTGCCTGGTAGACCATTTTGTTGTAGTCAACTACCCACTGTCCAATAGATCGTTTGGTCTATTTCTTTCATTCACACTTTATGTACACTTCATTTAGCCTCAAACCTACAACCTTATTGTTACAGACGGGTGTGAGTATGAGATCTCGATTATGCAATCTAGTTTAAATCAAAATATTCTATATGTCATACTTCATCAGCTGATTTTTTCAGTAGTAGTTCTAGTTGGACCTTTGGCCAATGACAACTTATACAGAATTTTAATATTTGTTGATCACAGATCCATAACTTTGACTGCCTATCAAAGTTGTCATATGTCACATGTCACCGTATCATTTCCGCTTAGATCATTATCCCTCCAGATACCGACAGAGAATGTAGCGTAGAAGTAATTTTAAACTGTTTGTCCTCGTTTTAGTGTAGTGTTTTGCACAATTTTATGTTATTTTTAATGTTTCCACATTCTACGCTTGCCGGATAGTTCACATTTTGACGAAGTAAGTCCAAAACGTTAATCTCAAAAACTCTTTTTTCATCCATTAACTTCGAGTTTTTTAACGAAGTTAACTAATTTACTTCATCTAAAAAACGTTTTCTTGGTTTATTTCAGATGCCCCTGAAGATGCTATTTTAAGCGAAAGTACTTGGGCTAGATTTAATTAACTTGTGCTCGATAATAGCCTTATTTTCAAAGTTTATCTATTTTAGTCTTTTTGATTGCAAATAATTTTAACTGCTCCTAATGAAATTAAAAGATCATGTAACTGGCTGTATGGCAAACTGCCAAAGCCATTATAAACAAAAAAAAACTGATTATATACATCTTCCGCTATATCACCAATTCGACGCAACAGTATCATTTGATAGAGGTATAGACTAAATTTTTTTTTTTTCAAAATAATCTTCAAACATAGTTTCCACAATTTGAATTGCAGTTGGCAAAATAAGCTCTTTACCGATAGTGTGAGGCTTTTTACATCTGGCTATTTGATATGAGACTTTACCAGAGCCAAGTAAAGCTTTTTTATTCACAGTTAAATATTTTTTTTAATAATTTTTGCTTTTTATGTGATTTTAATTTGAAGTCAAAGAATTCCTGGGGTTTGTGAATATACTCACTATGAAGTGTTTCCAAAATGCTGTCACCTGCTAAAATTTTTGAGCAAATAATACATATAGGCCTTTTTTATTCATTTAATACAGTACAAGTAAACTCAAAATTTAAGTATTCTCGAGAATATTTTCTTGATTTTATTTTTGGAACCACTCTCGCCTATGCACTTGTTGATGCTTCACTGGTATCTAATACTCGCTTACGCCCAGTTGAAAATATTTATCCATGATTTTGTATAAAGTTATATGTACCTACTGCTTGGGATATCTTATTGTAGTACCCTACATTAAGCTTACACTGCAATTAACACGCAAACTAGAACATACATTTTCACAATAAATTTCACAGGTACACAAGGACTGTCCAAACTGGCTCGACTAAGACAGGTCAAAGTAGAGTATATACCCCCTAGTAAGGTAACTCCCATATAAAGTTTCGGGAGAGAGATAACCAAATCGGAGGTTAGTCAGGCATTAAACTTAATGAAAACCAATAAATCTGCTGGTTCAGATGAATTACCAAGCGAGCTATTAAAGTTGGTCAACGAGAAAAATCTGGAAATAATAGTAGAACAGTTCAACGCTATCTATACTACGGAAATAATCCCTAGAGAAATGTTGACATCAGCATTTGTGTGTTCGCCAAAGAAAGTGAATGCCAAAGAGTGCAGTGACTATCGAACCATAAGCTTAATGTCACATACCTCGAAAATTCTGTTGAAAATTATCCACGCCAGAATTCAATCTATACTGGAGATGGATATTAGTGACACACAATATGGTTGTTCCGCAATGGTATGGATATCAGAGAGGCATTATTCTTCTTCAACGTGCTGATTCAGAGATGCTGCGTGGTAATTCTGTAGTTGTATGTACTTTGCATAAATGTTTCAAACGAACCCTTTCCGATATCTTTCTAGTGAAACAAAATAAAATATTTCCTATGATCTTATTTTTTTTCGTTGTATATTATAAAGGTTATAAACTGGACACAGTTGAAAATAGCTCTGGATTCGCTTTTGCCCTCGGATATCTTCTACCGTACTTTTTATTGAATATTATTACAAAAAACGAATAGACTTCGAAGTGAGTGACTCATTTCGAAAGTTATTATGGAATTTTTAGTACACACATCATTTTAACCAATAATTTATTTCTTCATTGTAGGAAGGAGAATCCTCAACATCAGAATCGTTATCAGTTAGACTAGGTCTAACAGTAGTTAGAGATTATGGGACGGATTTTCGCTCAGTTGGAAGAGTTATTCCACCTGAAGAGCGGATGACATTTACCTGGAACGATATAAACGCATACGCAAGGACAAAAACTACCAGAAGTAAATTTTGTTGTTTTGGATTTATGAGTTACACATTTGATGAACATATACTAAAAAATGGTAAGAAGTATTTAATTACTATATTTTTTATTTTACATCTTTTATTTCAGTCGTATACTTAGCATTTATTGCCCTAGAAAATGCCTTCGATAAAGTACCGAGAGAAAAACTATGAAAAATATTAAGAAAAAAAGAAATAGACAACGAGTTATTAAAAGAAAGAAATATACAATGATAACAGCAATGCATTAATTAATAATAATTCAACATCAGATACGTTTACAATAAATCGAGGTTTACGATCAGAAATAGCACTTAGCCCAACACTATTTTAAATATTTATGGATGAAATTATTGTAGGAAATTTATTTATGATAAAAATTAGATATGTATAACAAGGAGTAAAAAACTAAATGTAGAAATCTCCGAAGAGAAGTATTTGCTGATGATTTGGTGCTAATTGGAAAACCAGAAAACGAACTTCAGAATAATTCGTAGATATGAAAAGAAGTACACTAAAAATGAAATGAAAATAAATATTAAAAAACCAAAAGTTATCCAGATAAGAGAACCAAGAGAAGTTATTATAGAAATTGAAGGAACAAAAATAGTAGAATTAAGTTTACAGTTTTAAATACTTACTAGTAATAATAAAAGAAACAGGCTATCTAGAAGTAGAAATCAATAGCAGAGTAAAGAAAACAATGAACAAAAATAATGCAAAAAAATACACAAATAAACGATTTTAAAGCGGTTTATAGACCTGTTCTTACTTTTGGCAGCGAGTCATGGGTCCTAACAGAACTGCAAAAGAGCAAGATATAGGCTATAAAGATGTCATTTTTAAAAAGAGGTAAAGTTGCTACCAATATAGATAGAATATGGAACACGGATATAATTGGAGTTTTTTTAATAGAGACAGCTGAGTTGGTGGTGGTCATTTACAGATTTAAACACCTAGCTCCATCCAGGAAAGAAATCTGAAGTACCAACTGACATGAATAAACTTATCTGATAGAAAAAAAAAAATAAAATATTGGTTTGCCAAATAAAGTAATGTAAAGTAAATGAATTGTAAAACTAAAAGCTAGTTTTGTATGTATACGATTACACCTCAGTAAGAGTATATCCTATGATTCAAGCACGTTTGTAATTAAACTGTATAGAGCATCTGCAGATCTATTTTCGTTAATATCAAAAAACCCCAAAAATCTTTCTGTTATCTGACCAATTTTGTTAACAAAACGGATTGTAAAAGACACTGTGATTTTTCGGTTATATCATTAGTATCATCTGCCTCAAAAAATTGATTTTCAATAATTTCTCTTGGAATTTAATTTTGTATGTACCTAATCTCGAAGATCATCTATTACTCGTTTTGTATTGTTTTCGGCAACACCTTCACCCCTTCTGTTTTTTACTATGATCTTGTATTTCCTGATTGCGTTTAATTGAAAAATTAAAAATTTCTTTAAAATTACCCATATTCGAAGAATTATGGCTCTCATCCCGATCGCAAAATGCAAGTTCTTGTTTTGCTAAATTAATCGTAACATCAATTGAAATATGAAAATAGAATTCTATTTTTTCTTCTTTATATAAGTTATTGGATAAAACTGGATTTTCAGCTAAAGCACTGTCAATAGCTTGCGTATTTTTTTTTTCTGTTTTAGAAATAAACAATTATTTAAATAATATTTTTTTATAGAGTTTTTTTTTTTGACACTAACTGATAAATTTTTCAAATCTGAATATCCCTTACTCGCCCAAACATTTTGCTTCAAATTTGAAAACAGTCGATAAGGACAACAAAAAGATAATTTCTAAAATTACTACCGCATAACCATTTATGGATTTTATACCATATTGTTTTAATGATCTCGAAAATGGTCGAATATTCTTTTTATCTGTGGATAAAATTTGTAAATTTGCCAAAGGAAGGCCCATTACAATCATTTCTAATCTTTCTTGATTTTGGCGCCTTGAAAAAGCGTTTCAATCAAACCTCAGATTAATCGTTTAAAATATTCATAGCCCGAAGGCTACTGAATTCATCGCCTATAAAAATGATAAAATCACTGACTAGCCGCGAAGCCACATTGCTCCTATGTAAACGTAAGACAGAGAGACGGATAGAGGTTTTTTGTTTTTTTTAAGGCGAACATTTGAAGCACCTCTGAATTATTTCGAAGAGAATGAACTAAAACTTCGGAGAGTATATAAAAAATGGCTTTTTTACTCTAAATAGGTATTATGTTAATATTTATAAATCACAATTTTGAAATAAGTAATTTATAATAATTAATGTACATTTGAAGAGGTTAGGCGGTGCCTACCTTGCCTACGCCGACGGACCGCCCTTGCTTTACACAAAAGTTCGCGATTCTCCAAAAGTGACTTATTTATTGTAAAAGTTATACAACAGACTGAAATATTATTTTGTTCACATCCTAGCCTTATATAGGAGGAAGTAAGAAAAATTTAGTGAAGTGACTGTAGATGTCAATTGATTGGATCGCCGTCGGATGGTGACGGACAAAATCACTAGTTATTAATAAGAGGGTACTCAGACTATGTTTCTGTTTTATCCCCTTTCTCATTTCAAATTTCTCTGATTTCTTTTATGACATTTGTACTGTCGCTTTAACTGTCTGATAGGTAGATTTATTGCTGGTTTTTATAGTACGTGTATCTCCCCTAAGTAAATCCATATTTTCCGTGTCAAAAGCTGCTCCTAGATCTATAAAGGCTAAAAATAGTTCTTTGCTTTCTACCAATCTTCTCTTTATTGTCATTGTCTTTACGAAAACGTTGCCATCGTTTCTACTGTTTACACGTATTTTGGTATGATCCTTAACCAATCTCTTCCATTCTATTCTAGCTATTCTTACTGTAATAATCGTACTGCTTTTTTCATTTTTTCTTTTTCTAGATTGTCATCTAAATATTACTCTTATATTTTTAGTACTTCCTGTTTTTCGACCTTAAGTTGATTATGACTTTGTATCATTGCTCTTATTTCTTTCTTTTTATCACCTCTTAGTCTTTTAGTTCTTAATCAAAATGATCTGTTATTAATCCTATACCTACTGTTCCATTATTTTCTTTTTAAATTTAAAACTCTCTCTTCTTTACTGCGTTTCGTGTCTTTGATCTGTAATCCGGATAAACGTTTTTCATGCATTTTTCTTTTTCTTTATCAAATCTTTAATGTCCTAGTTTCACCATTTTGTTGTTGTTAGTTTTTTATTATACTTTCTTCTTTCACATATATCTTATCTGCCTTTCCAAGTAATATTTTGTCTTCAATTTCAGCCATCTTCTTCCAGTGTTCACCTCACTTTGTGATTATCTATTCTTGTGAATTCTTCATCTATTTTTTTTTTAGTATTGTAATCATATCTTTCTTCCAATTGTCTTAATCTTTCAGCTTGATAAGTGCAATTTTATTCTATTAAAATTCTTTATCTACATTTGTTACATTACCCAACAGTTTTGCCGCCTGTGATTTGACACGATTTCTGATGTTTTATCGGTCATCACATTTTTTAATTTGTTCGTCAGCTTTTGTGTTTGTACGATATAGTCAATAAGACTTTTCACGTTTATTTCTATTACTACAAATGTATGTTTATCTTGTATATTTTGTTTCCATAAAGTATTCCATATTAAGAGGACATTTTTTCTGTGAAAGTCTATTACATATTTTTATTCTGTCCTAGTCTCTCATGGTAACTATGTTTTCCGTCTTATATTATTAAATAGGTTTGTATTAGTGCAAGGTTCCTTTTAGGTCCTTAGTTAAAAAAACTCATAACAAAATATATTTTAATTTACTATTTTGGTCTAACAATAACTTGGGTTATAATCACAATTAGTAAGCGAAACAGGTTTGTAAACAAATGAAATTGAGCTACGCTAATATTATGTAGCCATACTCTAAATTCAGTACTACATATAATGACCATACTTTTACACATTATTTAATTCTATTTATATCTATAAATATCCAAAACCTGTGACTCCCTAATATAAGTTTACTGTTTAAGTTTGGGTGGTCCAATAAGCCGATCTCTCAGCTATATATCAGAATCTATTCATGTTATAACTTTAGGAGAAAAAATTCCTTAGTAAAAGTGGACAAGAGAAATCGCTGGAAAACCTGTAAAGAAAAATTTGAAAACCAGTTTTTTGTGAAATATGCCCAATTATACCAAGTGATAAATAAGTAAACTAGAAAGAGGCCTAAATTCCGCACAAAGGTGTTCAAGTACTTTTTTTTAGTTTTTTAAATAAAGGGTGGGGGAGAGTGGGAAAGTATTTGTAGATAAATACCTATAACTTTGGTTTGAATTAACCGATTTTAACGAAATTAGTGTCATTAGAAAGAGTGAAGATGATTTAATCTACTAATCTAATAAATCTACTATAAAACAAATGCATTTAGTTTTAATTGTCATGGGTAAAGGGTGCTTTCGAATAGAAAAAATTAAAATTTGTTTTTCTTCAAAATGTTTAACGGAAATACCTATTTATTATAAATTATATTAAAACCGGTTTAAATTCGTAACAAAATGGCGCAAACCGCATGTTGATAGCTTTTGTAGAACTCGAATATGAATAAAAACGCATAAACATAAGTAAGTATAGTATTGACTCACCCTTTATTCTAACTTAAAATTAAATATGTGAAAGATTATACAAATATCTTGATCATTAAAACTTAATGTCCAATTAAATCTTCAAATTGTTTTCCATCGTCGTCCACACAAAGATGTAATCTTTAGCGCGTAGACATAGCAGCTGCTTCAATCTCAGCTGTTGATATAATATTTATTGCGTTTATAATCTGCTGTTTCATGTCGTCACGCGTGGTTGGTCGAGTTTAATATACTAAGTTCAATTTTCTCCACAGATAAAAGTCCAAACATATTGTCTGGAGATCTAGCTGACAATGAAAATATACTTCCCCTTCCAATCCATTTATTTGGATAACTTGCAATACAAATAATCCGAACTCGATTGGAAAAGTGCGCAGGACACCCGACATGTTGTAATAT